TGTGAACAAAAATCACGTTATACATTTAATGTTTGGAGGCCTCATGCGGTTTCCCTTTAATCCTCTCGACCCTAGTGAGACACACATGTCCCAGTAAATATCTGGTTACTATTATCCAAATTACAATTGAGACAGGAACATATTTTTAAAAAAAATGAATATTATTTCCACCGAGACAAATTATTCCTTCTTACCTGTGTTCCTTCGATTTGTAGCCAACCCTAATTTACCACGCTTAATTTCTAAAACAGAACCTACTAGAATTCAATTAGAATAGCCGTGTCTAGATGGTTAAATACTAAGAATATAACAAGAAAGATCTATTTTTCGAGCACAAATAAAATAGTCCTCCTCCTCGAGATCCGAATCGATATCAGTGAAGCGCGCGAGCGTCCCCGGGTTAGATCGCGCGTTGGATCCCCGGTCACGCGAGATCATGCAGCGCACACGGGTTGTACGCAGGGTGTGTAACGCTCGGTATATCGCGTGCCGGGCTCGTTGCCTTTCGAGGTATCTTCGAAGACGCGTAATAATACGGTTCGGTGGACGAGGCACGGCGAATGGTCAACAACCGACCGCGCGCCGGGATTCCCCTTTCGTGTTATTCAGTCGACCGCCGCTAATTAAGAGAGCAGAGCGAGCCCCGAGTTTCTCGAATTACAGGGAATCGACGCGTGCGCGCGAATCGACCCTGGTGCTCGCGTGTCCGTCGCGTTCCAAAGGCGTTTCGAAACGCCGCGTTCTCGACGTGAAAAATGAAAAGAAAAAGAACGAAGAAGAAGAAGAAGAAGAAGAAGGGAGGCATTCCTTCGATCCGCGAGAGAGAGTGGCCCTTCGTTGCGGTTGACGCCCTTTCCCTGCTACGTGTACGCAACAGAGCGGAGACAACCAACCGCTGTAAATTACCGTGACGCGTTACGCGTTACGCGCTGGGGTTGTTGCGGCCGGCGACGTACTCGCCACGAAACGCACGCCCCAATTTTCCGTGTCGCTTTCCACGTTAGTGGAAGAAGTGGACGTTGACTTGGTTGAAAACTTCTTGGGATCAAGGGAACCTTTGTATATTGAATTTTGTTTGGACGTAGGCACTGTGGCATTTGCAATATTAATGTTTTGCTATAAAACGCCTTCTGCTTCAAAGCATCTTGTTCCAAAACGCCTTGTACTACAAAGCCTCTTGAACTTCAAATCCTTGCTCCAAAACGCCTTATACTCCAAAGTCATGCTCCAAAGTGATTGTTGTTTATAACTTTCCTAGCCTCCTCGTTTCAGAATCGGCAGTCAGTTAGCCAGGCTGTTCCGAACCGTTTATTTTGCCTTCCAATAAAATTTTGCCAAAGTTAACCGCAATTATATGTATTTTTAATTTAAATAAAATTCGTAATTATAAAATATATTGTAACGAAAGCTTTGGAGAGTAACGGAGGAAATGTATGCCGATACTCCCCCGATATTTACCGCGATACCGACGAGCTGTGCAAATCAATGAAATTGATATTTGTTTAATTTTATTTGACGATAGAAGTATATCCTGGTAATATTTACTTGTAAAATACTGAATTAAAAGTTTCGGCTCGAAAAGCAGTCGGAGAGCTTCCATAAAGGTAAAATATATGGAACTCGTTAAATAATAATTTATTTAAAAATTCCTATCGTAAACTAACAACGGACAAAACAAATTCCGTGATTTTATAAAATGAGAAAATTCCTCTCCGACTGAACTATTGATACCTTCATCGTTAACGATCACATAAATTCAATTAATACATATAATAATGAATAAAGAAAAAAAAAATAATTCCTTTGTATTTCTGTGCGAGTCCCTAGCCATCCTATTGCATAATGTAAACAAGGTTCCCTCGTGATGTTTCCATACGAGATTATATAGTAGCTCTGTAAATCGAGCTACTTAATGTTTACCTGAAACATGAATTAATTCATGGACATATACAAAATATAGGGGGAAGTTCCTTTATAAAGATAAAATGAAATTTATACGACAAAGGGTTGATCAAATCGTAACACCAGTAGAAAAGTTTATAAATGTTTTATTTAGCTCAACCACTATATATGATTGGCAATAATAGTCGGAGCGTCAGGAGGGTGCGAATGCTTAACAAGTCGCACTTCGTTGCATCGTTGGGTCATCCTTGCGTGAACGTATTAAATCCAAGTGGAGGTATACCTCTCGCTATATGTATACGGATCTCATTGTGGGATAGTATAATTTGTCAAATAGTTACGACATTCAACTAAATTTCTTTGGAGGACATACTGCTTTATTTCGATTGGAAGTATCTGGAGCAAGAACGTGTAATTTAATCCTAGAACGATACTTTGTTCTCCAATCGATGTGAAGAGATGTAAAATTAATTTAGATCTAAGAATAATTGGTAAGATAATTAAATTTAATAGCTATTTAATCTTATCAAGTTTTCTTAGATCATACAAACCTCACATCTTCTTGTATCATTGTTGCAGCTCCGAACAGTACTGACAATGTTTTGTTTAATGATTTTCCTCTCTAGAAATAAATAATCAAAATTCGTAGAGCTTTTAGCTCGCGTGATATTAAAAATTCAATAGGAATTAGGAATTTTTGTGCCAACCGAGTTCTTTCATGCCCTATACTTGGACCAAGTAGAACCTTCTCTCTCGTCCACTTCTTTCTATGTAATTCCAAGCGTATTCTCGTTTCGCCTCTCCTCTTTCATCCTTTGCTAACCCTTCAATATCCCTCTTTAATCGCTCGAGAACACATATATAGCCGTCTACGCCAAGGGGTTGATAAACTTTTTTTCCAGGAGGGTCGGTTAATAAATATTTTTTTGGTTTCAAAGGTTTAAAACTATAATCGAATACGAAACCTACATTTCGGTTGGAGCAAAAGTATATTCGATGTTTTCATCAAATATAATTCGACTTCTAGGATCATCCGAGACTCTTCGGAAATTTAAGCTTATTGAGTTAAAGGAACTTGCCTGTTTGCAGTAAACGATTCTGTTGAGAATTCTCAAATTAGACTGATCGAACAGCTCGATATTCATAATTAAAAACATTCCATCTTGAATGTCCGAGATGAGGTTGAACAGCGCAGCGATCGATAACCTTCCCTAGCGAAAGGAGCAGGTATTTCATATTTAAAAGGAAGTAACTATATCGATATCGATGGTAAAAAGCGTTTGAAATACAAATTTCCGTACAAAAGGGAGCTGTTCTATTCGATAAAGCGAAAACCTCTCACGAAAGAGCACTTGGGATTTGGAAAAAAATTGTGTATCAGAGAAAACAGAATTTTGTTCTAATACACAGACCTCTAGAAAGAGATTCCGTTCAGATTAAATCAGATTTCACAGTTTGAAACTATCTTCAATTTTTAAAATTTTCAAAGCATCCCAATAAAAAACGGGAATGTATATTCCGATGCCTTTCGTTATTTTAGAGTCCTGTAATCACAGATAAGATACGCAAATGATCCTTCCCTGAAACTCTCAGAGATAAACATAACATAATTCTGAACTTTACAAAAATCAGCACCGAACACAGGCAACATTCTCGGATCGAAGGTCGCAATAATTTAGGTAAAAAGGTTGCCGACCACTGGAACAGTGGAACGGTCCTCGAATTAGGATTGAAGTCCACTCGCGGCCGAAAGGGTCCTTCGTCCGGTCGGGAGCCATAAAACCTTACCGGGAGTCGAAAAACCAAGAGACTCCTTTTTCCCTGGCAAAGTCGGCTTAAAGTGGCGAGGCTCGTCAAAGGATTCAGAGCCAAGCCGCGGCGAAAAGAGCAGGTCGCCTAGAAGTGGACACAGTGAAGGAGGACAAAATAAGCGAATCAGCAGGTCGTCGTCGCGATTCTGGCTACGTCACCGCTCTGCTACCCCTACACAGTCAGTGGAGGGCTGTTATACGGTGTACAGTACACTCTCGCGTAAAAGGGGTTATCCAGGAATGAAACAGTAGGCTGAAGGAGGTGGGGTTGCAAAGCTTTGCAAAATTATGAATACGTAGTGAGAAGAATAAAGAAATTTGAAGGGGATCAAACAAATAGAATTATGAGAATAACATGTCAAAGTTCCCAAACTCCTAACTCGAGGATCCTTAAAGTTCCTAACTCAAGAATAAGAAGTCAAAGAAGGTGACGAATGGTAGGACTCGGTGATGGTAGGGTGGGTTCAAATCTTGCTTTGTAATGATACCACTTTCGTGACATAAGTGTTGCCTTTTTAATACATGAATTACAACTATAAACAAACATGTTAAAAGAGTTTGGCAAACACTAACAACAATCACCCCTATAACGACATCACTCTCGTGACATAAATAAGTGTGACTTCCGAATACATGAATTACTATTATAAATAAACATGTTTCCATCCACAACTCGGTCAATTACTAACAAAAGAGTTTGACAAAACGCTGCCGCCTCAAACGCGTTCAAATATCTTAATATCCTAACAATCGCCTCTTTTTTCGAAATAACAAATAGAATTATGAGAATAAGAAGTCATAGCTCCCGAACTCCTAACTCAAGAATCCTGAAAGCTGATAACTCAAGAATAAGAAGTCAAAGAAGGTGACGAATGGTAGGACTCGGTGATCGTAGAGTGTGTTCAAATCGTGCTTCTATAACGATATCACTCTCGTGACATAAATAAGTGTTGCCCTACTAATACATGAATTATTACTATAAGGCCGAACGCACACGGGCGCAACCGATTTGAAATTAGTGTTGCAAACCGTTTGCGCTCTTTGTTTTACCTACTCCACTATCTTTGTTGTACTTAGATCCACAGTCGCAACTACTTTCAGAGTGATTTAAAACTGATCCGTTGCGCCCGTGTGCAATCGGCTTAAATAAACATATTTCCATCCACAACTCGGTGAATTTCTATCAAAAGAGTTCGACAAAACGCTGCCGTCTCAAACGCGTCCAAATACCTTAAGATCCCACCAATCACCCTTTTTTTCGAAATAAATTCTTGAAAATCACCCCCGAAGCGGCTGCACCCGTAGCAGAACACCCGCTGGAGATTCTCGAGCGAGAAGGAGCGAGGGTCGTCAAAGGACGGAGATCCCAGGCTCAGCGCGGTAGGAGACCAGCCAGAAGTGGACACGGCCCGGAGGAGGATAAAATAAGCGAATCAGCAGGTCGTTGTCGTAATTCTGGCTACGTCACACCGGTGCTACCCCTCTACACTCGACGGAGGGTTGTATACCCTCGTGTAGGGGGGCACGACGCGGCGCGAAACGTAGGCGGGGGTTGGGGAGAAACGCGGCGGGTTCGAGGGGCGGTGGGACAGGCGGTGGTGAGAGGAACGCGCGGAACGCTTTATGAATGAATGTTTCCACGCCAAGTGTGGCGAGAGAGCGAGAGAGGTACCCGTGTGTCCCACGTGTAAACACAATAATACCGACGTTTCCATTCATCAGGTCGACCCCGGGGCAAAGCACGCCGCGACCTCGAGAAATGCCTTTCGAGGCGCCACGTGGGGATCTCGCACAGCCCCACCCTTATACCTCGAATCTATCCCCTCCTTTTTTATCCCCCCCGACCCTTCGCGGCACTGTTTAAAAAGCGATTTCAGTCTCTCCTTCTCGGCTCGCCGCGCAACAACCGCCCTCGTCGCATCCTATCGAGCTTCTTGAACGGGCGCGAATCGAGGCCGCGGCCGACACCCCCGACCTTGCCTTTCGACGCTCGCGGACAATTAAGGATTCCCTTTCGTCCAACGGTCGATCCCGCGGCTCCCTCCTCCAGTAATCAACGAAACTGGAGGATGTTTTCGCGTGCGAGGATTGTCGTAATAACTGAGACCAGGAGGCAAACTGCAAGGTGCGTTGGGTGAGTCTCGCAGGGTCGAAGTTTGATATGACTTTGGTATGATTGGCAGGTTATTTGTAGTACATAATATTAGGAGGTTGCATTAAAAGCCGCTGTTTTTTTTTTTTTTTTTATTTTTTTTTGAGCATTTATTTCAATAGTAACGTATATAAAAGTATAGATCGAAGTATTTGCTCTCAAAAGCTACTACTTTTTCCCAAGTGGTTTTAACAACTCATAATATACGACGGCACTCATTGTCTACAGTATTCTCAGTTAAATCCATGTATACATAAACAGCGATTTTCAATGCAACCTCCTAATAAGTTGGTCACGAATTCACCGTTTGCACTCGAGTGCTGACCCTCGGTCAGCACTAGGTTTATCACAGTATTTCGGCGAACACTGTTTCGCATTGTCGCTGATAATTTAAATTATCTTTATCCTTCGAGTACATTTACTTCGAATACATTTCTTTATCCGATTTATGCATCTTTATTCGATTTTCTATTTAAATAATTTTTTTATCTAAATAATGCCCATCTCTAGCGAACAGTAATGCTTGTTTTGGTTTATATTCATTGGAACATTCTATTCACCTGTGGTAATACCTGAACAATCCCCTAACCTTGCAAACTATTATATAGCAGCTACGTTACAGGTTTCTGGGAGGACGAGTCGAGGCAAAGGGGACTCGTTGAAGTCGTGGGCGGAGCGCAGCGTTTGGTCCTTAGTATGCGCCATGGAATTAGGTTTGATCTCGGAGCCCCGTCAGACAAGTGTCTCGTTCGCAGCGCTCTCGAATGACGGGTCGCCCGTGAGAACGAGTGCGTCGGTTTCCAAGGAATTTCCCTCGATAAATTCCCCGATTCCCGGGAATCGTAACGATCGCGATGGAATGGAATTCGTCGCGAGGATGCCCACGTCGCGAACTGCCAGAAAGTCTTCGTTGAAGCTGACCAGCCGCGACAAAAGGATGAGATCGTTGACGACGGAGAGGAACGCGACGGTGGATCATTTTTGGAAATCGTGCAAGAGGAGAGTGGGAAGACCGAAGAAACGGGTAGAACCTAATCGCGAGGACTCGGAGTTCAAGATGAAGGCGAATCTTTGTTACGATCGAATAGAGAACGTCCAGGTTTTCCCAGGGATCGCTCGTCAGGTTTCCTCGACCTCCAGGTCGCTGCACGCGAAGAAAAGCGCGGTGATGCAATCGAGTATCTTCCAAATGCCCACCACCGCGGCTAGAAACAGTTATCCCGATCGCAAGTTGAGTCGCGGAGGCGACAGGCTGGTGGGTAAACGTCGAACGAAGAGAAGGACCAAACGCGGAAGACCCGCGAGGATCGTTGAAAACGTCGATCCCTCGAAGATCGTGCCGTCTTACAGCAGAAGTGCTGCTGCAGCGTGTCGGGGGAAAGAGAAAGTCCTCAACGGGGACACCACCATCGACGTCCAGTGGGAATATCGTGAACAGGATCTGCGTCCTTCGACGAACGCGCGCGAGGACAGGGAATCCATGATGAACGATCTCCGAGGTCAACATTTTCAGACGACCTGTTACGAGGTATGGTCATAACCATTTTCTTTTCTGTTGTTGCCAATTTGTATCATTTACACTTGCTCGATGTCGCCGAAGGATACACACCGTTCGTTTATGTATTGTATTTACACGTGCTGCAGAAAAGAATACAAATTGCGTGTACTTAAAGTCAGGCCTTAGGAACAATACAGCGTATTGAATACACGATATCGAAAAGGATAAATTTCAGAGTCTCGGTTAAGAATACTTTTCGTTATAATATTCTATATACTACATTTTCAACCTCCAGTCAGATATTCGTCTTCAAAATCATCAAAGATTAAATGTACCAATTAACGAACAATAACGAACTAATCAAAGCTTACTTAAGTACTCTCTACAAAAATATAATATTCCTATATTTCTAAAAAATATTCGAGGACATCAAAGTCCTTCCACAACTCGCCCCTTTTATTTTCAGTCGGCATCCCCTAACCACACCCCAATAATCGAGGAATCACCATCGACTTCGGACACGGAGGACGCGTACCCAGCGCATGAATCCGAAAATTCACAAGAATTCTTCGTCCATCCGGGCCAAGCAACGATGTTCGACGACGTCCACACGCTCCCATTGGCCGAGAGGATCTCGACTGGGAGCAAATCCTCCACCGACGATGTCGATTATTCCGCGAAAAGCGACGACGAGGATCGACCCGAATATCCTGAAAAGAACCCTGGATCCAGCGATTTCTGTACTGTTTCGAACCATTCAAACGTCGGATCCGAGAACGAGGAACCCTCTCCGATTAAAAGACGTCGACGACGAACGAAATGCAATCGACGGAAGTGTTCTTTGGTTCGCCGTGACAAGGTGGCCAGCGAGAGGAGGGTTCTGGGTGGGAAAAATAACGATGCTCGATGCAAATCAGCGGAAAGTGTAAGGAACTGCTACGGAAAGCAAACCTCGGTGAAGAGGAACAAGGTAACCGCGAATGGGAACGTTAACGCCTCGTCTATCAGGAAGTTTGCGAAAAATCACACGCAAAGAGCAAAAATATTCAAAAACGACGAGGAATATCACGATTTGAAGAGGGTGACTCGGGGATCGACGAAAATCAGCAAGGAGAACTTCGTTGGGAAGCTGGTGTGGGGATCTTGTTCAGGATGGTGGCCAGGTAAGTTGTTTGTTTTCGTTGTATCTTGATTTAAGATCTGATTCTATAAGAATTACTCCTTTGATTTTTTTCCGTAAATTCCATGTCCCTGTAAAAGTAAGTCCAGATCTAACGATCCACTCTGGGTCGAGCAATTATCCCTTTGACGAATTATAATCGAAACTCGCAGGAATATAAGTTCAAAAAAAAAAAAAAAAAAGAAAAGAAAAATGAAAATTTGATTCACAGCCAACCCTAGTTCGATACAATTAATCTCTCAAAGAGAAATATAATTCAAATAGAAAACATTCAGGTCGAAAGGGTTATATCGAAACTACATTACCGTTTATAGAAACCAATAAATTAATTAACATCAGAGATAATTCCTCCTTACCCATGAAAAAGCTATTAATTATTGCCGTTTCATGCAAAGCGTGCATCGAGAGGATAATTCTGTTTTCTATAAACAAGTAGCGTAATTTTGAAACATTCGAGAAAGCATCGCGTTAGCTGAAGCTTAGATAATTGTTCAAACGCCGATTCGCCCGGCGTCCATGGCCTGAATAAACAATTTCTATATAATATTGCAGCATTAATCATCGATGCGGACCATGTGGGAATGTTGTCTGAGGCGGGAAAATTGTGGGTTTACTGGATCGGAGAAGCTCGTATATCATTAGTGAATATGAATTCTTTATTTATATTTTATTTTCATTAAAACCCGCCACGAGGATCGCGTTCCCCGCGTAATTGCCGGTTATTACCGTCATTTCAGCTGAACGAAAAAACACAGATCGAATCGTTCACATGCAACCTGCACTACAGACTGATGCAGAACTCGAACGTGGCGCGGAGCCGAGCCATTGACGCAACTATGCAGGTTTCTCATTTATTTCATTCGTCTCGTTACGCTAGTTCCAATCATAGAGATATTAAAAATAGATCAGGGGAGACATAGACCTGCTCGTCAGTCGAAATGTCGTTAGAAACAAAGAAAAACTGCGGTGTTCTATCTAAAACTGTGCCTTTATTAGTAGGAATATAAAATACACATATTAAAAGCATATACGATAACCATTTACCGTGAACACCTTAATCTGCCAGGCTAATAATCGCGAAAGTTCCTGCGATGCTGAAATTTTATTTCTATACAATTAGAAATGACATAATCGTGTCGGTACTTGTTTTTGTGACCTCTCCAGAATTTACCAATCCCATCCGGATTAATTTTCTATAACACGTCGCCATCAGAATTAATTTATTTAATTCTTCGCAGAAAATTCTTGTCATCTATACGCGTTTAACGTGAAAACGATGTAAAAATGCTTTGGTGGAAAATGAACGGGCAGGGTACCACAGTTTTCTTTCTCTTTTTAGCCGTAGTACGACTCCCCTGCTCGATTTAGAATATCTCTATGGTTTCGGTTCGATTCATAGCAGGTGGTAGCAATGTTTCGAAACGGGAACCTTAGTCAGCGTCGAATTTGCTTCAGATTCTACGAGCACGGCTGGGCTGCACCCTGACGAAGCCGTACTCGTCCTGGATTGAAAATAATTTCTCGGATGGGCTGGAGTGTAAGTTCAAAAATAAAAGTTTTTACGTGTATGCGATGGGTGTAACGCGTGTTTTCTTTTTCGGAACGTGCAGCGCTCGATGAATTCAAGTTCTACCCGTACCCGAATAGAATACAACAGAGACTGAACTGCCTGAAGGAGAAGAATTCGAAAGTCACCGAGAAATACTTGCTGGATCAGAAACGTATGTATAGTTTCCTTGGTGCTTGACCAGGTAAATGTCATTGTTTCGCGAAGGAGAGATTGTTAGAAATATGACGCTGCGAATGCGATGAAATAAATTAGATTACTCTCGTCTTTCTTCGTAAATGTCAGCACGATCTATCAAATCTATAGAAAGCTCGTCAATGTATACTATTTACGCGATCTATCTGATCGACCTATATCAGACATAATGTCACCGAAATGAGAGCCAATTCCAATCAAGCAGCTTAATAAATTATCGCGCCGTACAGAAATAAAATTAGATGAACTTTAAGTAATCAGAGTCCGTATACAATTAAATACTATGTAACAGTAATTTAAATGTATCTTCCTCCCCCTCAGGGTTCTATTATCCCTTCCAATCGTTCCCTCCTCGTTCAACGCACCCAAGGAAGCTCCCAGATCCCACGCAATGTCCACCAGGTTGAGACTCCATCCCTATCCGTCACCGACCCACCAGACCCATCAGTGTCACGCTTGATCTCACAGATAGAAGTAAGAGAATTTAAAATGGATTTACGAGTCCTGCCAACAAAGGGTCCCGTTTTATCTGCGAATAACCGAATTCCATTCGACGACTCACATGACGTCGGATCTAAAATCACTGACACGAAACAAATTCCTCTGTCCAAGGATTAACGTCGAATCCCGATTGTTCCCCCCGTGCGTGAATCATCTGGTTTGTGTCGACAGGTGAGGCGCAGGTGAAAAAGGTGATCGAGAGACCGAAAGAGTCGCCGCAGCCGAACGACGCTGATGCGTCGCGTTTGCCTTTGAAGGAGCAACATCCAGGAGTCATAACGTGGGCTAAAATCGCCGGGCACAATTGGTGGCCAGGTAACGCGCGTGCACTTTCACAATACACCCCCCTTTCGACGGTCTCCCCTCCGGAAAATCAAACATTTTCCTTTCGAACAATAACGACGCCTTGTTTCAGCATTCTTTTGTTCCCAACGAATGTTTAAGCTTGGCACACGCGCGAAACTGCCATTCCGCGATGAACACTTCGCGGACCCCGTTAATCAATAGCGAATTGGAAACCGTTGCATCGTATTTCGAAAATTCTTTCACTGTTAATTAATCCCTCGACGTATGGGAACGTACAAAAAAAAAAAAAAAAGAGAGAGAAAGAAATAGAAACGAAGTATTCAGTGTCTCTACGCATTCGTTGCAGCAATGATTATCGATTACCGGGATTGTTGCATGCGCGAGCCGGGCTTCGGTTGCCAATGGATCATGTGGTACGGCGACTACAAGCTTTCGGAGGTAAAAATTAATTGGACATTATTAAGCTCGTTACACGCTGGGAAATTGAACGTTGCGAGAGATCGTAACGAAATTTAAACCGGTTTTGACGTTTATTAAAATCGCCCGGGCGATATGTTGTCACGCTTTACACGCAATTCTTCGTTGCGGCGGACAGGTACATCATCAGTCGTTTATGAGGTTCGACCGTGGCATCGAGAAACTTCGCGACTACATAAACAACACCAAGAAGCACGCCTATCTCGTCGGGGTCCTCCAGGCTGCCAAGGTATTCCATTAAATCAATCGAGATACTCTGAAGTGGGAGAGGTCGCGTGTAAATATTTGGGAATAGTGTTTTAACTTTTTCTGATATTTTTCTTCCTGCTTCTGTTGCCTTCTTTGTTCTTACTGATATTAACCCTTTGCACTCGAGGCTTTGTTTTCTGGTATCTATCAGCAACTCGAGATGCTGTCTTAGCATTCTCTATTGTCACGAATGCTAAGCTTAGATTAACTTTGAAGGTCACCTTTCCCTCAACGACAATCATTTTATTGACATTTCGAGTTCCAAAGAAATTAAACCTAAAGAAAACCTAGTGGTGACTGAGAGTCACCTCTCGAGTGCAAAGGGTTAATACAGTTTCACAGGACCTACTACAACGTATAGAGTTTAACCTTTCGTGCCTATTAATATGTATAATTAATAAAAAAGAGCATAGTCTTGAATCTTCCAATGCAGATCTGTGCCTCAAGGACGAACTACCCCTCCAACCCAAATTTAAACAAATAATAAGCCAATAACAACAACAACATACCTAATGTCATATTATTAATCTCTGCTCAGAATATTTAATTTTCAAAACTGATAAGAACCTATATCCAAAGTAATTTGTCCCTGAGGTGCAGAGATTGAGGCTGAGCAATTCACCCTTGGACTGCGAACCACAGGACTTGTTGGATCACAGAACCTACTACAACGTATAGAATGTATAACCCTTCGTGCCTATTAATATGTATAATTAATAAAAAAGAATACAGTCTTGAACCTTCCAATGCAGATCTGTGCTTCAAGGACGAACTACCCCTCCAACTCTAATTTAAACAAATAATAACCCAATAATAATAATAATAACAACAACAACAACAACATACCTAGTATCATATTATTAATCTCTGCTCAGAATATTTAATTTTCAAAACTTCTAAAAACCTATATCCAAAGTAGTTTGTCCCTGAGGTGCAGAGATGCGAGGCTGGGTCTCCACTGACCCGTCATCCGCAGTCCAAGTGTGAATCGTCCAAGAACAAAACGTTCGATGGACAGAACCGGTTCGTTTCGAGCGTCGTTACTCGTCTTTTAGGATTACTGCTCTCGTTTGGGATGCGAAACCGATAATTGGACGCTGGTGGGCGTGTTCAAATATTTCTCGAAAACGGACCGTCTCCAGCCGCAATACGACCACCCCAGAAAGGGCGACTCCGTCAAAATATACGATAAATACTCGGCGCACATCGTGAAGCAGCTGAACGAGCTGAAGAACAATCCGAACATCGACGACAAACGAGCGGACGACTTGAAGAGCAGCGGTGAGTTGAAGAATGTTACGTTTATGCAGGATGTCTGGTAAGTGGCGGCACTTACCACCGAACGGGGGCTGGATCCTTCACCAAATGTACAGTCGGTCGTAAAAATCCACGTACACTTGGAATGAGAAATATTTCGAAACTATAAGAAGACCCTTTTTAATATTTTTTAAATTCGCCTTGCATAGTTGTCTTGTTCTCTCCTCCGATTTAATACGAACATTATGAGCCATTATGAGCGCTATAGCCAGGTGTATTCATTACTCTCAAGATCGATCTTCAATCTTTTCTAAGAAAAATTAGATCAATATTTTGGACGTTCGTGTAACATTGTTCTTTTGAATTTTAATTTCATTTTTCGTTTACTCGAAACTAGTTTCAGCTTAAATTATAGATAACAAAGTGATATTTAATTCGTATGAGTTGTCTCCCATGTATCACATATTCGTTACATCCAGAGCTAGGTAAAATACGTATTTTAAATAATAAACAGTAAATAAATATTTTATTTCGGATGATGCAGGTATTTTTAAAAATAAAATATTTTATTTGTTATAAAAAATGTTTAAGATAATATTTCGACTAATATTTTATTTGAAAAACACTGAAAATATTTGTGCCATAGTTCGGAATATTTTATTTATTTAATTTATTATTAGCAGATAAAATATTTTGATTTTACTAAATTATAGTGTAAAGTATATTTATTTTGGATATATATGAATTCTGAAGAATCTATTATTTAAAATAGTATTTAAAATATTTTCTCGACAAATATTACCCACCTCCGGTTACAACGAGTTTGGTCGCGCGATAAGTCCTCTTGACGTTCATCATTTCGGTTTCGTTCATATTTGGGCCAAACTGACTTCAATCGGTATTCATACGCCTGGGCGTGATCTGCGGGATCCCTCGGTTCGTACGTAGTTTGTTTGACGCTCTAATTCCAACTTATCCCGGAAAACATGGCGGTCAACGAAATCCATCCGAGGTGCACGCGCTGTTTACGCGAGTTTTAACTCACGTATAATGCGGCCGCCACCATCAAAGGCATTTATAAAGCCATGAATAATTATTATAGAAAACCTCGATGACGACGAATTAGAATTTCTATAAATTCACGTTAGGAATTTTAGACCGTAGAAGATTTGTTTAGATTCAGGACATCTGTTTCGCGATTCCAACATTACAAGAGCGATACCTCGATAATTTTGTCGGCCCGAAACTGGTTCACTATTCCACGAGACGATAAAATAAATACGTAAGGTTCAGGAAAAATAGCTGCAACCATAGAGAAATGAATTTATTTCAATATAAAATTGTAGTAAATTTATATGAACTTGTATCAATAAATTCGAGTACTATTTCTAAAAAATAGGGGTAGATTTGTGGATATAGACATCTACAGATCAAAGCTCGTAAGTAGACTGGGTATTTAGAACATACAAGAATTATACATAATGTATATTCAGTATAATCTATTAATTGATACAATAATATAATATTTCGTTTCCCATGAGTGCACATACATTTTGGCTATGCTTGCCCTGTGTTTGTCATATTACCTTGTGTAATAAATGCATAAAATTCTATTCGAAACGCTGACGTTGAACTCCGCCCAAAAATTTTATTCTCCCCATCGACCCGTACATGCACGACTAATTGGCGAAGCACTGTTAAGACTCCTGGAACAAGACAAAATTTGTTCCAGACGATTTACGGTCCGTAGTAAGCGGGAAGGTCCCGTTGGAGTCGTTGTGTCTGAAGTGTCTGAAGACTCCCAGCGGCGCAACGGAGGCTCACCCGTTTTTCGAGGGATCCCTGTGCAAGGACTGCTCGGTATGAAGAGACTACCAATAACTAGAGCTGTTCGAGTACTTGACGAAATCGATCCGAGCCTTAGTCGACTCGGATATCCGAATCGAGCCGGGTACTCGAGGCTGTCGAGCTACTCGAACGACCGAGCACTCCGCTCGAATTTTGAACTATTCGTTTCGAGAACTCGGACAGCTCTGCCCGTAACGTGAACTTCGTTACTTCGTTTTAGGAACAATACAAGCCCTGCATGTTCGTGTTTGGCAACGATGCAAAATGCGTGAGTACAGCGTCGACACCTTACGCTTTGATGGCCGGATGTTAGGCATATTTATTTAGAGTCGCGTGATGTCAGGAAGGGTGGTGAATAAGTAGGACTTGTGTGGATGAAGTAGAAGGCGAAAAGGCTTGGTTTCTGGGACAATTAAAACCCTTTGCACTCGAGGCCTTTTTTTCTGGTATCTACCAGCAACTCGAGATGTTTCTTAGCATTCTATTGCCATGAATTCTAAGCTATCTAAGATTTGAGAATAGGGTCAGCTTTACCTCACCGACAATCATTTTATTGACACTTCGAGCTCCAAAGAAATTAAATCTAAAGAAACATTAGGTATTGTAGATTTGCTGCGTGAAACCTAATGATGACTGAGAGTCACCTCTAGAGTGCAAAGGGTTAACAGAGATGACTGTATCAATTATAGGTAGACCAATTGAGTAGTTTCTTCGAGTCCTTGAGAAGCCTAAGCTCACCATGGTTGATCTTGACACCAACTGAGGCTTTTTCCCAAATAACATACCAATACTGGATCCCTCTGATCCCTGAAGAATCAGATCTCTGCATCCATCTTATCCAAAGGACTATCTTATCCTAGTATCAACCATGAAGAACCAAGCTGTGAAAGCGTTTTTCTTACCAATGTTACCACTCAGAGCTCCCCCCCCCCCCCCACGTCTCCTAAATTTGCATTTACTCCCAACACTGGCCATCAAAGTATCGAATTATTCCTTCTACTCGATAATCAACATCTTCCTTTCAGTTTTACTGCACCATCTGCGCCAGTTCCGGAATGGTGATCATCTGCGACAACGAGGACTGCCCAAGGTAAATTCTACGATCGATTTAAGAGCGGATAAGAGCATGGATATTCGTAGATCGTTCGTTTTACAGGGTTTACTGCACTGCTTGCATGAAGCACCTGCTGTGCCCGACAACGTACGATAACGTGCTGCAGGAGGATCCTTGGGAGTGCTTCCTTTGCCAAGGCAGCTCCGGCGTGTCCTCCGATACGATTGTCAGGCCACGACCGAACTGGAAGGACAAAATAATTGACATGTTCCGTACAAAGAGTAATTCGAATATGCAAGTGGCACGCTGCGAGAAGAAGAGAAGAATACGTGTTCTCTCCTTATTCGATGGCCTGAGCACTGGTAAGTAGAAGCACACAGTTTCAGAATTCTAAACAGCATCTAAGAACATCTCTTAAAGTGTATTAATCATTTTTTTTTCCACACGTAAATCTACCGAAAGTTTGGAGGATTTATAATTAAGGATCTCCCTATAATTTATATATGGTTGTCTTCAGGCCTGTTGGTACTTCTCAAGCTGGGCTTGGCCGTGGATGTCTATTACGCGAGCGAAATCGATCCCGACGCGTTAATGGTCAGCGCATCGCATTTCGGCGACCGCATTGTCCATCTAGGCGACGTGATGGATATAACATGCCAGAAGATCAAGGAAATGACACCGATCGATCTGTTGATCGGTGGATCACCGTGCAACGATTTGAGCCTCGCTAATCCGGCACGACTCGGGCTCCACGGTAAAGCCAATCGTTTCGAGAACGTCATGTTCTGTCGTTGCACTGTGTAACACGCTGGAGGAATGATTAAAGGACTCAAGAAAATTTTGTTCACACTTTTAAAAAATTTTATTTTAAAATTCGAAAGAATAACAAGGTCATCCACTTATCTACATGTATCAGGACCTTTTTCTTAAGCCTTGACATGTCTATATATCTGAACATCTTCAATGTTTATTTTTAAACTACAATGTCTGTAATTACTTCTTTGGTTATTTTCCTACGTGTTGTTCCTAATGCATTCTCTATCCAACAGTCTGATTGCTCTGTATAACATAAATGTTTCTTCGACCTCAGACCCAAAGGGAACCGGTGTTCTCTTCTTCGAATACTGTCGAATCATGAAGCTGGTGAAAAAGCTGAACAACGGACGTCCCCTGTTTTGGATGTACGAAAACGTCGCCTCGATGCCAACCGAGTACAGATTAGAAATGAACAAGTAAGTCGCCAACACGAATCCTTTCGTTTAGAATTCGTTGTCTTCCGAGAATGTTTGTAAATGTGGTCGTATTCCAGACACCTGGGTCAGGAACCAGACGTGATAGACTCGGCGGATTTCTCCCCTCAGCACAGGTTGAGACTTTATTGGCATAATTTGCCAATGGAACCGCACTCGTTGTCGTCGCAGGGTGAGCAGGACGTCCAAGACATACTCACGCCCCACTGTCAGCGATACGCGCTGGTGAAGAAGATCCGAACTGTTACTACAAAAGTTAATTCCCTGAAGCAAGGTATTTCGCATACGGTAGAACCTCTCATATACTGAACCTAAAATTTCCTTGATCAAATAGTCGTACTTAGTCTTACTTGGTTATGTTAACGAAGGTTCTACTGCACTTCCGCTCGATGTGTTAAGCTATGATTTAATTACGCTTAATTTCGCGATGTTAGGTAAATCAGCCTTGAAACCGATTCTGATGAAGGACGAGAGCGACTCGCTGTGGATCACCGAGCTCGAGGAGATATTTGGATTCCCGCGACATTATACTGACGTGAAGAATCTATCAGCGACAAAGCGGCAGAGATTAATAGGAAAATCATGGAGCGTGCAAACTCTGACCGCCATTTTGGGATCACTCTGTCCCTACTTCGAGTGCAATACAGTTAACGAATAGGAACGAAGTTGTTGGACGGATGTTGCATGGAATAGAAGCTTTATTTTAGTTCGAAATGACAAAATAGTGAAACGAGTATTTTTAAAGTTGTTTTTTTTTCTCAATCATTTATATTGTTTATTTTTTTAGTTTTTAATACGATCAAGACAACGAACTCCGTCTTCCGTCTCGTCTCCATTATATGTATGTTTCATTAAGTTTGATACGAATTTGTTTCTTTATTTTCTTTCAAGCGCAGGCAATATTTTACACGCGCGTCAAAAATATCGTACATTTTGTACACTTTCTTCATTCATTATAAAAGCCAAAATAAAATGAAAAATAAAAAATGACATTATAAATGGTTTCCCCCGAAAAATACAACTCGGTATATACAACTCCTACCGATACAAACAATGGTCTTCGAGGTACTCGTTAAGAATTACTTTGAGCTTGCTGGGGTCTCATACGGAAGTATCCTCTACGAGGCTCTCGACTGGTTGGCAAAACGTTATTGCCACCAGTGTAAGGAGCGTTCCTGTGCTGATTTAACTGCAACAATGTAACGGGTACTGGAATGCATCCTGCCAAACAATTCACGTGCTGCATCATGGAAGGTGATAATGGCGTATTTATGTATACTTCCTCTCGTTCCGTGTCAATTCCCCTCACGATTCCTGTTATTACGAAACAATACAAATGAACAACCAAAATGAGCAAGTTAGTATTATCATGTTATTTAATCAACTAATTTTTAATAAGAATGAACGAAACTCACCAAAACCGTAACATGTGCAAAGAGGCAGTCTGGTCAATACTCGCAGACCAGACGTGTATTCGATCTCTCGTGATTCATCTACCCCGTCGATTCCGCACAGAGCTACTATGTTACCGTTCACTACGTTCAAAACATGTGTTGGCGGCGCGGTGGTTCGTGGAAGCGAAATAAACAACGAGGAAAAAGACGTCCTGTAATTAAGAAAATTTAACTATAATTAAGTACGTTGCATTATCGAGTATACATCGAATTTAGCATAAAGAAAACGGAAATACTAACACGTATGGCACAGCTTCGGTAATGCTTAAAGATGCCGTATCGTAACACGACCTAGACAAGTCATACTCGTGTAAATAAAAATAAACATTAGTAAATATAGGTTAGAGTTTGATGTTATTGTGCCTTACATAGAAATTACAGGACTCCGAATAATCTCGCTTAAATAAGAGATCATCACGAGTTCTCGCTGCTGATATGGCTCTAAATTCTGACTCTCATTTCCCGCAGCATTTTTACGTTCAGCCTGAGAACGAACCACACATAACTCATGGTCGCACGGTTGACTACTGTCGACGATATTCGTAGTCCAAGACGCCCGCAAAAGTTCCTACGAAGACGGTTCCTTGATCGACCATTCGTGAATCAATTACGAAAAGGGTAAACGCGGTTATTTACCTGTTTATTCACAACCTGTTTTTTCAAGTAGTCAGGATAGTTATTCTTTGACTTGTCGGACATGATCTGTACCACTAGAAACGGTCGAATCAATTTTATGGTGAACAAAATGATGTCCCATCCGATACCTTGACAGAAACCCATCGTGTTAACGACGATAGGTAAACGCGACAGAATAGGACAACTTAACAATTTGTCCATCAATACTTTAATCCCCTCGATGTATCGCGTTATGCAACGCGACACATTGACATCGCCAATGTACAGCTGGAAAGCTGGGCTACTTAAATGTGTAAAGTTTGGTCCCATTAGTGGTTGCTCTATCAAACTGTAAGATATGCAGCCTGGCGGTGTAGATTCCGTTTGGCCAGGATCTACGTCCACTAGAACCACCATTTTGGAAACAGGTAACAAACTGTTTATCAAGTAACGCGTGGCAGTGGACTTCCCAACGTTTTTTCCACCAGCGATTAAGGTGCACGACCATTCCTTCGCGTGCCAACGATTCAACATTTTCTCGCTAACATCTTGCGTCATGCGTTTGTCGATGACCAATTCTTTGAAAGCAGATCCGTCAACGTAAAGATTCGATTGCAGTATCATCTCGGCTCTCTTTGGATCGGTCCAACCCTGATAGGGCACATTTCTTATTTTTGGAAATAGTTTTAATGGATAAAAAACGTTCAAGAACTTGGTCAATTTATTTTCTAAATTCGTCAAGAGGATGACCGCTGTACCAGGTTGAAGTTTATCTATGTCGTCGACCAATTTGTTCTTCGTGCCTCGAATGATACCTTCAGCGGTAACGGTCGTCCAAATATCTGTCTCGTTATCTGGTGAAAATTTCTGACTGGTTTCGATCGAAACGCTACTGTATCCTTTTGGAGAGTAAATTTCAATTGGTTTGGACTCCCTGGTGATCACGCATCCATAAGCTTCCACCGCTCCGTACAGAACTTTTAAAACTAGTTTACCAGTGAAACAGAATCGAGATTTCTCTGGCATAACGACGACGACTTTGTCTTTTAAAGAATAAAATCGCGGCTGGCACTGATCATCGAGAATACTATTTCTGTTCCTTTTGATAGTTGCAGGTGGAGTTTTCACTTCTAATATACTGCTGTTTCTATTTATAGTATCAAAGTTGCTAAGGCATTTTTCGAATGTGAGAGTCGTTTCACTGGAGTTCCACTCAGAAGCAAAATCATTGAGATTTATATCGTCTGACTGTGTCTTGTTTTTTCGTTGTCTATGATTATTTTTTAATGGTGATGTTCGTCTGGTATCATTCCCTGAACTAGAAGAAATATCGTTTGGATTTACCGATTCCGCGACAATAATACGAGCTTCACTCTTTCTGGAGCCAGTACTTTGTGATTTTGAAAGCTTATAATGGCAATTAGTATTTTCCACTTTTGCTTTTTGGTTCTGTCTAAGTATTTCTGGTATGCTTAGGGACGACAGCGATTCTAAAAGTGTTTCAACTATCACAGGTGAACCTAAGTTTCTTTGATGCTGCGTAATATCATACTGCTTGTGGTCTCTGTCTCTTGCACTTTTGGAGTCATCATTCTGCTCTACAAAAAGGCCCATAGAATCTGAAATTTAAGCAACTTCTTTCCATAACAGTGATCTCTATTTGAACAAAGGTACTATACCATATTTTATCTTCAACCTGCAAATAGCGTACGATGTATACCCCAAAAGATGGTCAACAATAATTTCAAAGGGTCTACTAATAAAGCTTCAATGTTTCTTACGTTGCGTTTTAGTGCTAGATCCTTTAACAATAGTGTACGTGTTTTTCTTCCTTCTGTTTACAAGACGCTCCGAAGCTGGCTGTTTATCATGTAAAGATGCACTTGATGGACCACCCTGAACTCGTTTGGTTTTTGAAGATGAAGAATTCATATTTAAACATTTAAGGACCGACTTCCTCTTTCCCCGAACGAGCCTGTTTTTGTTTTTATACCGGGGTAATCGCCTGAATTAAATATTACACTCGCTTAACAACACTGATAGCACCTTATGATAGAATGTTATCGATATTTCATCGATTTAAGATAAGGTTATCAAGGAACGTGCTAACGTTCAATGGTTACTCACGTTTTGGTTTGTTTTGTACTGCCTTTATAATTTTTTACTTTGGTTTTCCCTGTTTGCGTCATTTTTTGTTATCTTTGTGTTATGTAAACCAAGGTTATGGATTAGGAATGGTTTATACTTTTAAAGGACTATTCGTAGTAAGTTAACCTCGAAATTCATGCGAACGAATACATATTATACAAAGTTTTTAAACACAAATTACACGTGTTTCGTTGGGTTTGAATTTTTTTGTTGAAGCGAAATACACGTAATAAATATGTTTCGTGAGAAGATCAAATAGAGTATAAACATAATTTGTCATGCGACCAAAATTTCATTGGTTCGTTATGTGAACAATTTCTGGACAAGGGACCCAATGTACTTTAGTAAATTATTCTTTATTTCTTATACATGCATAATTAATACGATTCTTCGATTTATAATACCACAATATACCATTTCAATATATTGTTTAAACATTTATCTGCTTTTATATATATATCCTGCTTTATAAGTTCAGTTTGTAAACCTATAATCCCTATTTGCTACAAACTTAACGTAAGCATACTTTCTCTAAAAGTAGCTTTAATTTAAATGAAATAAAACATGTAGAAAATAATAAAATAATAAGAGCATGTGTAAATATGTCGAATTTATTATTATATATCCATATATAATAGTTTAATTAACATATAAGGCTACACCTGCGATTCATGGACACAAAATCAGTATCGCCATCTAGCGGTGAGTATCGAACTAATTTTTCGAAGGTATATATATATATATACATATTATTACATGTATATATGACACCTATTAACCCTCTAATACCTCATATTCCTTATAATTAACTTGAAATAAAATTAAATAATAAGTGTATGAAATAATAAAATGGTTAATGCATGTGTAATAATGTCAAATTTATCATTTTTTTAAATATTTTATTTGATAATGGCTTTAATACCAGTGGCGCCATCGGTGGCGAAACGCTCAAGTTTTTAGTGAAAAAAGTTCTCATAGTTTTTGTAAGATGGCGTCACTGATACCCTTAATCAATTATTCTTTATTTTTCATAAATGCATAGTTAATACAACTCCTTGTTTTCTAATACTACAATATATTAGTTAATTAGTTCAATTTATAATTTTTATGAATAATTTCTTACTGCAGCAATAATTATCGACCCTTTTAGATGGTGGCGTCATCTAGCAGCAGTAGTAGAAACAATTTTTTACTACAAACTCAGGCGTTTTCCTACCGATGGCGCCACTGGTACATATTAATACCGGAACGCGCCCTAAACTTGCCGAGAAAGAGGGCAAATTGGTGGACAGTGCTGTCCTTGTTGTACTTGTGCCTTCTAAAAATGAAGTAAATGACGAAATGCCTCTTTCCAGATCACAATGCAACAGTTTGACGTCAAAGTATTAGTATAGTCCAACAAACAGATCAATGAAATTTTCTCACAAATCAAATAATCGTGTAACTAGAGCTCATCCAGTCGTTGGATGACCCATATGGGAAAAATGAAAACGCAACCTTAATGTAATTTGCGAAGGGAACGATGGAGGCGACTCTTTAGCGACGCATCGCGGCTACTATAGTTACCATCTAATGTTAATAACACGGTGTCACGGTATTGTATTCAACGTTAATAACCACGAAAAATGGAGTTACCAGTTACGTATTGTTTGTGTGGCCGTTCTTACGATTCCGAACAATTTATGATACAATGTGACGTCTGCAAGGAGTGGTATCACGGGGGGTAAGGTTTTGAAAATTTGTCAATTCGATACGTTGATACGAACGCTATGGTTGGATTATGCTTCCCCGAATCGTATACAAACATTCCCTCGGATTCGTTTTTCGAAGAACTTTCAGGCAATTCGAACGTGATCCCATAGTCCCGTTTCTGTAATTCCTTGTTCGCGAATAATATTTGGAAACTAGCTTGCGTAGAAGAGAAAACTGTTTTGTTGATATTAACATAACCTATTCCTAATCCACAAGTACTTGCGTTTTGTTACTCTGATATTTTAATTGATCATGTAGTGATCATAAGTGAATATAAGGATTGAAATAAATACTTACCTGTACACGTACAATAATACATGTCAATATAAGTTTCGTTTTTTTTTTAGATGTGTATCGGTGAAGGAGTATATGTCCATAGATCTTGATAAATATCATTGTCCACGTTGTGAAGCCATGTGTGGGCCTTCACTTAGTGAGTGCTTGAATATATTAATACTATATTATTTGGTATGAATTTGAAATAATGGATTATCATTTTTCAGTGAAAGCAAAGTTGAATTGGCATAGACATGATTATTCGGAATCTGATGCAGACACAAAACCAGTGCAAACTGGTACACCAGTATTTATAAGGGAATTAAAGTCTAGACACTTTCCAAAAGCTGATGAAATAGTTAAACATGTCAGAGGACAACAGTTGACTCTCCAGTATTTACAAACCAATGGATTCGAAAGTCCAATTATTATTGATGGAAAGGATGGGCTTGATATGGTTGTTCCCCCTCCAAATTTCAGTGTTTATGACATAGAAAGTTACATAGGTATGAATAGTATTACAAACACTGCTCATTGTATTGTATGTTAGAAATTCATAAAAAATTAATTTGGTCCTTTCATTGTAGGTGGAGATCGAGATATGGACGTAATCGATGTTACAAGACAAAGTAATATAAGAATGAAATTAAGAGACTTTGTCGAATATTACAACTCCCCTTGCAGGACAAGGGTTCTTAATGTGATTAGTCTTGAATTTTCAAACACTGGGTATATCAATGTTCATTGCCTTGCCACATATTGGCTTTAAATATTTCTAGCAAGTATATGTATAATTTGACAAATAAACGTTGCAGTCTTTCACCAATGGTCGAAGCACCATACATCGCGCGTAAACTCGACTGGGTCAATTCAGTTTGGCCGCGCGATTGGTCCGAGGATAGTGACATAAAACGTCCTGAAGTACAAAAATATTGCCTAATGGGGGTCAAAGACAGTTTCACAGATTTCCATATCGATTTCGGTGGCACATCCGTGTGGTACCATGTGCTGCGTGGAGAAAAAGTATTCTATTTGATCAGGCCCACGTCCGCGAACATGCAGTTGTATCAACACTGGATGTGTAGTTCCACCCAGAGCGAAACTTTTTTTGGCGATCAGGCCGACGCGTGCTACAAGTGTGTTATCAAACAAGGACAAACCATGATGATTCCAACAGGGTGGATACACGCTGTGTTAACTCCGATCGATTCGTTAGTTTTTGGCGGGAACTTTGTACATAGTCTCAACATTCCGATGCAAATACAGTGAGTATGTAAAAACTTGCTGAAAAGGTCGATTCGACTATCATCACTTAATCTCGATACGTTACAGAATATATGAATTAGAAAAAAAAATGAAGACCCCCGCGAAATTTCAGTATCCTGGTTTCGAAACAATCAATTGGTTCGCGGCAAAGAAATTGCTGAAAGAACTGAAAGAATTAAATAACGAGGGAAAGAAATGTCCAGCGTATCTTTTACAGGGGGTCAAAGCATTACTCAGTATTTTGAAACAGTGGAACACAGACAAAGACGTAAGTTCGTTTTTTCCAACGGCTGGAGCCATTGTATTGTAAATTGTATTCCACGGACAGTCCAGAGGTTATTTCTATTTCAGTACAATATGATCAGCAGAGGTCAAATACCAGAAACCATAAGTAGTCAGAAATTATTGAAAGACTTTAGTAAAGAAATACGTCACGCGGAACGATACTTGATATCTCTAAATCCTCCAAAGCCAGAACGAGAGAGTAAGCGTAAGAAAAAGAAACCGTTGAACAAAGACTTCGTGGACTATGACGTTGCCGATAGAATGGCCGATAATCCGTTCAAAACAATGTTGAAAGAAACAAATAAAGTGGAAGCCAAGATTAGCGAATCACTGCCGTCCGGTCGACCACCGTTAAAGTTGACTTTACCAAAGCCCATCATGTATCCGTACGTGAAAACACTAACGCCGAAATTGGAAGAAAAAAGTAGTTCACCTGCTGTTAAGCGAACATCGAAGCCAGGGAAACAGAGTCCAACCGTAATCAGATTTAAGCTCGGCAACAACGAAGTCGTGAGGAGTACGCACGACAATATAAATGTATATAACAATTTAAGTTCGGATCATCCCCTAGGAACATCGAAAGAATTAACGTGGAAGCAAACTTCCATATATGATTTTCACGACGGTAGTAACGAGAGTGATTACGGTCGATTCACGATAGACGAATCACCGAAACGAAAACGAACGCCCAAGGCTAATACTCAAAAGCGATTGAAACACGATTACGATGGGGATGTTGATGTTTTGAGCGACGTGCCGAAAAATGGTATCGAAGAACTATTGAAAGCCTCGGCTTACACTTTAGGAAACGGTGCTCAAAGGTTGGACGTTACGTACGTATACTGATCGTTAAGACGTTTCAAGAAAGAACACCAATTTCATCCGACTATCTCATGTGTTTACGAAGTTATTAACCATTTCTTATGGCGTGTCAGAAAAATCTTAATCTCTGATTATTGCTATGTAAATGCTACGCAAATGAGAATATTCTTTGAAATTAATAAAATTACCCACCTAATACAAAGTTAATTCATTTTAGGTCTACCGTGATTCCACAGTATGGTCAGCCTATGCCACCACCTACCGGGTAAGAATATTAAGAAATAGTACTCTAATGCAAAATATACTCGCTGAAGCATGTTTAACGTTGATTTACTTTTGCATTAGCAACTTTACTTTCCTTTCGTAGTTCTTTACCGTCGTAATAACGTTATGGAAGTGTAATTTGGTTTTCTTAGTGTAGCACTGTTGCGTTTTACGTTTTTGGTGTCCTAGTATTTATAAATTGAAAACGACCAGTTCTGGCAGGGCATCTCCATCGACACGGGAAGCGATCGCGGGGATGTTGTCATTCAGCGAGCAATGCTATTCCACCACGTCGAATAGTCCTTCGAAATCTACGAAAACCACGAAAACGCAGCCCGACGACGACGACGATCAATCAATAGAAAACATTGATAAGGTTCATCAGGACGACGACTTCAGTATGTAAAGACGCAAAAGGATTGTTCCTTTGAATGAATGTAATCAAGTATTAGTTAAGTAGAATGTAATTACTATCGCGTAATTTCGGATGCAGTTTACCCAGCTTTAGACGCGTCGGACGACGAGGACTATATATTTAAATCTAAATCGAAGAGTCAAATAGATGAGGCGTGGAATCCAAAAGCCAGAGTTGGACCACTCTTGCCAAAGACGAATCGTCCAGCTCGGGAAGGTGTGAAGAAAACATCCGTCGAAAAAGGACTCGAAGCAGCCGCAGCGAAACGTGCTAAACAATCGGTAAGCAAACTTCGTTCGATATTTTTCTTTAGATTGAATACGCTGTCCAACGCGAATTTTCTTTTGTAACATCCTTTGGACCATATTTGAAACGAGAACTCTGTAAGGATTACCCAGTGAATGTTGCAAAACAAAATTCGTATTAGGTTGACCCGAAAGTTTCTTTCGCGAGTTGCACTCAATTATTTTATGTGATCGTGTTTATATAAATAGACAATCTAATTTCATAGATATTCATGTTGTAACAGTAATGAAGCAAAATGAATCGTGCACAATTCAGTAATGTAACATAAAACATAAAATATTGTGCATGTATTACTTATTAAGAAAGCGAAAGAAACTTTTGGGACAATCTAATACAAAAGAGTGTTATCGCACTATGTTGTGTTCATTAGTTAAGTATGTGATCAGAGAATAAATTTAATACCATTATGTAACCTAAATCATATTTATTTGAGTTAAAGTTCATAATGCATACGAATAATATAGGTACACCTCCTCGTAACACAACTTAATTCATTTTGATACTGTATACGCCATCTTATGTTCATATTCATCTTGATTTCCATGGTTCTTGCATACTCGTATTGCGTAGGATGATTATCTGGATAACAACACGGATAAGGGCTCCAAGAAGAAATTGGTAGGCATTATTACAGCTTTACCATTCGTTTTTGCCGCGTGCATTTCAAAGACACGAATAATGTCATTTAGTTTTATTGCGATTTCATGATATTGTTGACAGTGGGAGGACCTTATATTTAACGAAATTCATGTTACGTAATTATATTACTGTTCATCTCATTAATATTGTTTGAAAACTACGTGTTATCACTATCGTGTTTTTTTTATTTCGCTATACGATAGTAGTAGTGAAACTAACCCATACTTATTTACGATACGACAGAGTACAACTAAAAGGACATATAATAAAAGAAAACCGAAGTGTCCACCCGTGACTTCAGCAGGTGGTGCATCGACCACATCTTCAGAAAACGCTGTTAAAACAACAACAATAGGATTTGGTTCGATATTGACTAGCCCTAACAGGCTAAAAGACGTTAAAGCAAAACTGGCGGCCCCGGTTCCAGTTGGTAACGTATCTTTGACCCAATTTATTTCTCGAGCATAATTTTGTGTAAGTTTTCCAAGTATCGTAATCGTTGTTGAATTTTTAGAACGAAAACCAAAGAAAGGAATGAAAACAGCTAAACAACGCTTGGGGAAAATTTTAAAGATTCACAAAATGATGCACTAGGTAGTAAACAAATACGCAGCAACAATAAGCTAAACATCACGTCATTTTCTTCATTTGTGTATAAAAACCATATAATAGGTGTACATTACTATGTAAATATACCTTACTCGTTAAGGTAACGTACCTATCTTAAGACTCTAGTTTTACAGATTACGATCGCTTTTTTAAACAAAATATTTATATTTATTATCGTATTATTTAAATTTAAGACGATATTTAGTACGTTTTGATACTTGACTACTTCAGGAAGGCGTTATTTATGTTCTAACGAACAGTTACTGAAGGTTTTTCTAAATGGCACCATTTGATTTTAACAATTCAGTTAATGGTGATTTGAATGAACAAATCTTACGATCAAGAAATGTAAAGAGGCTGTAATGTATTAAATCTCTCTTAATTGACTGTTCAATGGCTATGATCAATTTCGTATGTCACAATAATTACACAACAATTGGCCAAAGGAACTTTTTACCCGATCGTATTTTCATAATTTCGATAATTCATGTTCACTCGTATCACGAGATTAAAAGAAATTATTTTCATTATCATGCACAGTAATGTTTAGATTATAACACATTTTATAATATAGTTTCATTTCTTTCTATTTCCATAAATAACATATGTAACATTCTTTTATATCCATCTATTACATTGTAATTGATCATACAGGAAGGAGGAAAAAAAAACAATGCAAAAATCACACTCACACAATTTCTTTGTTATTACAATACAATGTCGTAATATGCATTGAAACAAACTTTTTCTACTTTATAAGACGCAATCATTAATTTTCAAACGAAAATAATTGTGGGACTGGTATAGTATTGATAATCGTTAGTTTTTATATACTTATCCAACACGCAGCGAGAGTAATATAACTGATTGTTAGATAATTTTTGAACATTATTGTGAAATACGTATTTTTCTTGCAAATAAAGACTCCAAGTATCGATATAATTTTCTAACTCTAAATATGAATGAAATGTTTATCTGTTTCAAATGTTCGCGGTAGATGGAAAGGGTAAGGCGGTTCATACGCATGCGTCAGTTGCGAAGTCGCTAAACCTCATCAGTAACAGTATTCAATGGAACCTCGACTGATGCAGTCGCTCGCGTCAAATTGTTTATTTATCCGTCGTGTTTTCGCGAGTACGTCGTCAATAAATTTTAATCAGTAGTGTCATTCGTGGATTCATCATACACGGAAATAAATTTAAACCTCTATTGTTCGATTTAAATTAAAATTATCTGTGTTCAACCCTTGTGTCAAACTTCCATGTTTTTTTTTTTTTCGAAAGATTGTTTAGAATTCGTCGTGTCATCGATACGTAACATAAGTGCATACGCATAAATGCACACATAGTGCACGGTAATCGTGAAACATTAGAGAATCGATAGGAAAAACAAAATTGTGATGTGTGATAATACCGACTGACATTTTAATTACTCCTTCGCGACCGCGTGGAATATTCAAGAACGCCATCGTGTGTATTTGACGTTTACGAGGTAAGCAAAACATGTACATTTTTTAACATTTACACTTACATAAAAATGCATGATTACCGAAATTTACAGGTTTATTTAAAAAAAAAAAAAAAAAGACTTACCAATTTTCGGTATTCCAAAGTAAAGTGCAGCCACATTTTATGTTACAGTAATTCGAAATTTAGACTTCAATTCTTTCTAACACGTTTGCATCGGAAATACCTTCGTTGATAGAGTATACAAGGGTGGACAAAATATATCGAGGTGGATATTGACTTTCACTTCTGCAGTAATAATGTTTCTATATAGAAGTAAAGCTGCAAGATTTTATTCGTTTCTTTTTCGTATCCAAAGAAATGCCTATTCAATTTAGCTTTTACTCTTAGCAATTACTCTTAAACAATAAAATTGAATATCGAAATTCCATTGCATTCACGTAATTCGACTAACGCGGAAAGGTTTCGAAGGAATTAGCCGCGTATGTAGAAAACTTACTATACCGTTTTGAGTTTAAAATAGAGACGTCAGAACTGTGTGTGCCTTTAGCAGCATGTTTAAAATTAAACTACCCGCGATGATGATTCGAATACGCAAATCACTATCGTGTTTTTACCTTAACTAAATACTATTTGATCAGACTTAACCCTTTATTGCATGACACATGATGCAATCGAGGTTTAAGTGTGCCCGATACGGTAAATATGTATTATCGGATTATAGTGTAGAGGAGTTTCTTCGTGAAAAGCTTATGAATAGAAAATGATTGTACAAAAGCAAGATAGTGCAGTAGTTCGTGTACGTAAATATCGAAGGTTTTTTACCGTTTGTTGGTAATTCATTCCAAGAATAGTGCGAGTGCAGTATAATACATTCTGTACACAGTTCAAGGTGCTTTTTATTATGACTAAAGTTACGCATAATCAGCAATACTTAACCGCCTTATCACGAGAAACTTTGTTTAATTTTAAGTGTACGAAATTGTACACTGAGTAATATCTTTAACCTTTTAACTGCTCAATTAATCAATAGTAGGAAATAAATATTCATAAAATACAAAAAGTATATGCTCTTATTATTATCTTTATAATTGCTACACTGTGTTAATTTCATAATGGGCTATGCCCGTATATATTGAAATAAATAAATAAATCTTTAATTTGAGTTTCTAAAATAATATCGCTACCGGTGCTCGCTTATAACGCTGTAATTAAAAGGTTGAGACAACCGCCAACTATTTCGATACATATACGTATACGTACATTTTCAGCATACACGATTTCGTAAATTTATCATCATGCAATGTCCGGACAAAGTCATCGAATTGGTATGTCTGCTGTATCGTAACTGCTTCGAGTTGGTTTGAAGCAATAACGATGTACATAGATGTGTAAGGAGAAAACTAAAATACAATGACGAGGATAAAGTGTTTCTCTCAAAATTTATATAAAGTTACATAACAATATTATTGCAGAAATTATTACCGAGCAAGGTATTTTAAAAATAGACTTTCCTCGGTTTTAAACCAGGAAGCTTGTTAACAGTTTTATCAAGCTTCAGTTTATCAGTTTGTACGGAAAATTACACTGATATGAAAATCATGTTTTCTTAGCTTATTACAAAAAAATTCGTCTCTTCCGGTTTTTTCGTTGAATTATGGAAACTTGGGATAGGTGTGTTACTAACTAATATTAAAAACTTAACATAGAAACATCTTGCAACGAACAATCGATCGTGTCTCGAAAATCGTTCGATGTTATTCAAGGTTAAGGTTAGCCTCGATTAAGCTTAAAATCTCGTGTTATATTTTTAATTTACGATGCATGAGAGTTATCTGGTAACGCTGCTGAACAAAGGTGTATCAGATAGGGGAAATGTGATCTTTGAACAGCACCGTTTATGCACAGGTGTGATTATAGTTAAACAACATCAGATTCTCAACAATTTAGTAAGCGCAATGTTTGAAACTATCCATTAATGTAAACAAAAACGTTCCATCGTATTTCCCCATATAAAACGATTCTCTGATGTCGAATATAAACATAATCTCTAGTTGGAGCAACCGTAAACAAGAGATGGGCAAAATTTGTATTAAGATAAACATTTCAAATAACAAATAAAAGACACAGTTACTTTTATGCATTTACGATGAATATGAATCTGAAAAATATATACCAAATAGAAATCGTTAATAAATCACTACACTATGTCTTCATTTGTTATCTACTACTTCAATAAAATTTTGCTCACCTCTGATGTAAATGCACAACCCAACTCTGGGACAAGACACTGATGAACAAAGGTGTATCAGATAGGGGAAATGTGATCTTTGAACAGCACCGTTTATGCACAGGTGTGATTATAGTTAAACGACATCAGA